AACAATAAATGGCTCTGTTTCCATAGAAATTGCTGAAGAGCTTGGCTTAGAGTCGACTGGTTTTCGCCTTGAACTTATAGAGAGGATTAGGTACTAAATTATATTATATTCTATATCTGCTCTTATATTGATCTTATTTCTTTATTTAGAAAACATTTGGAAGTAAAAAATGATGAAATTTCTACGGATATTAATCAAATAGGTACTTCGTCAAGTCGTCCAGATCCTAAAGATAGTAGCAGTAAACCGCCTACTGAAAGACAAGTTATTACTTCTTCTCCGAATGGTGAAAGGTTCGCGACACAAATTAACTGTGGTATTATTTTTACTATGTAAACTTATCTTATTTTATTAATTTTAAGAGAACCAGATGAGTCTGAAACTTCTGATAGTGATAGTAGGCAGGTGAGTTCATCACAAATCAATTTTAGCTCTATTTATTGTTTGATCAACTATCTGACCTTATCTGACTTCGAAAATTTAGCAGGAAATTACTATCAATGCTAGATCTCAAGACACATCAAGCTCTGAAGAGTCTAATTTAGAGTATAACGCATCGCGTAGTGCACCAATAGTAAGGGCTTGGGAGGTTCAAGCTATAAATGAATTTCTACTTCGGCTTAGAAATGTGTGTATTCAAAACTAGCATTCTACCTATTTTAAAGTATTATTTATTATCGATATTTATAGCAATTTGTTCTATTTCATCTTTTAGTATGTTTCAAATTCGCGGAAATTTGTGCAAGGCGTTATACTATGTGAACTTGTGGTTTTTTTATATTGTGCGATCGAATGGGATATTAAAGTTCGTTAATTTTATCTATATATGCTAAATTTTGTATTGATGCTTCTCATTCGTTAAAATTTCCATATATTTGTTTTTTTTTATTACAGATTGCCACAGTTCCTATTCCATTCATTTTCAAAGACTCCTCGGGAGATGTATATGATATCCGTATTCCTAATTTCAGCTTTATTATTGAATGGCATCGTTTTTGGCGTCCTTTGATTTCATTTTTGTTTTATCTATTTTTATTACCACTTTGCTTCTCATATATTTTTAATCTTGAGCCCCGTCAACACGTATATAGTCCACTTGCTTTTTCTGTTGCACAGTATGGAATATTTTTTACCACTGCTGGCCACTTCGATTGGGCCGAGGACGTGCGCGATTTTATTCCTGACAACCTTATTTACACTGGTGCCGGATCTGCTGTGATTTTTTCTCTTTATGAGAGTATTTTGAGTATGTCTCGAACTTTTTGATTGAATAGGTTAAGTTTTGGTGAGGCTTGTTTTTTCCAAAGAAATAATTTATTCATTCCCAGTCATATTATAATTCTCTATTTTATCTATCATCATCATTTTAATTTTTGTGTATAGTCATAGTGAAGGCATTTCTAACACAGTTCATAAATTAGACGTAGAAATATAATCACAACAATTGTGCATTTATTAGATTTATAAATAAAACAAAGCCTTTAGTTTCACGGTTTAATAGTTCTAGTTTTTTTTTGATTTTTTAAACTATTTTAACTATTGTAATTTTGTATTGCATTTTAAAATGAACTATTTTTGTTACATACTTTAATATAAGTTTGTTTTTGGTTGTATTATATTGTATAAAATTAGAAATAATTTTGCATATTATATATATAAATTTATAAATTAAATTATATAGTATTTATATTTATATAAAATTTAATAATAATAATATTATTAAATTGGATTTACAGTATAGTATTTAATACTAGTATTATAAAAATATATACAGTTTATGTATATAAATAAACCTAATTTTTATTAAAACTTCTTCCTGCTGGTTTTTCAAAATTTTTTATAAAAAGTAGAGATTTGGCTTACCTTTTTCAAAAAACCAGTATTATTTACTTTTCAAATTTAGACAATATAGCAAATAATAACTATGTATTTATAGATATGATATTATTAAATTTGGCTAGATCCTAGACAAGGAACCTCTAATGATGGTAGCAAATGGCTTGAAATATATATCTATGAATGGCAGCAGCATCTGGCTTGAGATATAGATTAGAATAGACACTAGTAAGCTAGTTGCGAGATCAGATACAAATTTTAATATTAAGATGAAACTTTACAATAGAGATATACAAATGTTTTATTTAATATATAATTTTTAATAGCCTAGCACAGGCCACAATAGTGTAATTAGTCTTTTTTTTATTTACTTTTTCTTTCTTTTGTTTGTATTTTTTTAGGTTTTTTTTTTTTTTTTCTTTTTTACTTTATTGGTTATATTTTTTTTGTTAGCTTTGTTATACACTTTTCTCTTTTTTCTTTAAGCTTTTTGTAAAAAAGAAAAATTTAAAAAAGAAAGGCAATCCTGACAAGCTAGTGATAAGCTTTCAATAATTCGATGGGTAATATCTAATAAATTAGATGCCAGAGATAAGAGAATATATTGCTATAGCAGATTATATTTAAGTACCAATAAAGTAGGCAGCTAAGTGAGTCTTTGTTATATAATTAAAGAGTAAATAGTTTTAAAGTTGTTGTAAGCTTTCTGACTAAATACTATATTATTTTTTAAACTCCTATTAAATAATAAAGACAAGATTGCTAAAATTGATAGGTTTAAAGTTGTTGTAAGCTTTTTGACTAAATGCTGTATTATTTTTTAAACTCCTATCAAATAATAAAAGAAGTGCAATAAATTACATAATTAAAGTTTATATAAATCATATTCCTCTCCTCTCTAGTAATAAAACTATTGACTAATCAAATTTTATCTTTTATAATCTTTTAAAAATATAAAATATATAAAATTTAATATCTTCCAGCTATGAATTTCTCAACAACTATTAATCCAAATTAGATAAAATTTTTTTTTTGCAAATAGACATGATATTAGGCTACAATATACTAAAATTTTATACAATTTGGATAAGTAGTTCTTAAGAAATTGCTTAAAAACTATATATAATTTTTTTTTTAGCTTATTGACAGTCTTACCGGAGCTCAAATACAATACTTTATTAAACAACCTCGGATAGAATGAATAATGACAGTATAAAAATTGCAAGCCCGACATTACCTGGCTGTATCTAGTGTACCCAAGAGCAACGTATCGCACCAATCTATATGTAAGTTAGAAGACCTTGTCAGCCCACCAAGAGCCTATCTCTTCATCCTTACTTTCTTCACCAAGAGCAAAAGAAAATAATGTTCTGTATTTTCAATACTAGAACATACATCAAGAAAAAAAGAAGCTTACATACCAAAAAAGATACAAAACAAGAAAGGAAAAATAATAAGGAATAAAAATAGAAGAAACAAAAAATGTAAAAAAAGAAAAAACAAAGAGATAAGCCCTGACAGGC